GTCCGGCAGCAAATACCTGCAAACAAAACCATCAGCTTCTCAGGATCCTGCTGCAAAGCAGTGGAGACAGACAGGGTAAGAATATGCCCTGATTTGAACCAGCTGAAAGCACATGCTTGGTTTACCTAAAGCGTAGGGAGAATTCTTTCACTATCAGCAAACATTTCAAAGGGAAAGACAGAAATCTTTAAAGCAAAAGTCTGTTAAGGAAAAGAGGCTCTATATCATGGAAAAGGTAAAAAATATATACATAAGAAAGTAACTTCAGAAATGTGGACTTACCAAGGAGGCAGCTGGTCTCCAGCTCAATCCGCCGCCACTGCCCTCAGCCTGCTCACCCTCCCAATTAACACCAGCAGCAATCTGGCTGCCTGTTTCTATGGAGTTTCAGATCCCCATCCCTGACTATGCATGAGGCGACTGCAGCAGCGCAGGAACAGCTCTGAGGTCCGCAAAAAAACTACAAACACACTCAGACTCTCTGACTGCTTCAGGAACGAGCCAACCAGCAGCAATTAAGCAGATTCAAGCCTTGCCGCTATGCAGAGTTACTTAGAAAGCTCCCAGGCACGCACTGCACAGCTCTGTAGTGCTGTTTGTTTACCAGGACCATTACGGTGAGCACAGAGCCAGCTGTGAAGTCACCAAGCTACACACCGAACACATAAACATATTCATAGACAAACTACACAATCAATTTCCCCTTGATTTATGCTGCTGGTTTTGACCTTATTCTAATAGAGTTGGTTTTTTTTTTTAAGCCTTCCTCTAGCTGCAAGGTTTGAACACGACACCTTCAGGATCAGAGCACAAACCTGTTCTGCTTGAGCTAAAGAGCAAATCTGCTGCATGCAGCCCTTGCTGGCTCTCTACTGGCTGGTGGAACAGGCACAGAGGAAGGCAAAATCTATTTTGTAAGTGCATTGCTCCGTGCTAAGAAAGATCTTTGCCCACAAGCACTGCTCCTCACATGCTTGGCCTCCAGAGTTGTAAGCCTGGATGATTAGTATTAGTTTTGCCTGGATGGCTTCAAACATGTTCACTGTTATACACCACGATTACTTAAAATATATTTGAACAGTGATTCAGAGAAGTATGTTATTACAGCCAATAAGTAAAAGCTGGAATTGCCCTTATTTCACAGCTAGTGGCTCGAGGCATCCCACATCAGTGAACGGGCACGCCATCAATTTTCCATTAGTCAAGCTGCCCTATCAAGGGATATTTTTTCCCTTCATGTACTTCAGATGCAATTTCTCCATATAAAAATATTTTACCCCCATCAGCATTTCTGCAACAAACCGCCCCATACTGCACAGAAATTCAGCCTCTTTCCTCCCGCAGCAGGAATGCTTACAGACATGTGGGTTTTGCATTTAATAGTATTTGCAGAGTGCCAGGAGCACTCAGTGCTGCACAAGAATGGCCTGTGTCACAGAATGCAAGAAGAGCAGTTCACACAAAGGGCAAAGCACTGACTGTGCACTGAGTTATGGAAGGGTTAGAGCTGGAAAACCACACTGGAAAGCAGACGCTCTCTTCAAGTCTCCTGTTTTCCCATTTCCCCCCACTTGTTCTTTTCCTTCCTTTCACTTTGGGTCTGACACCTCATACCTGCACAGCACCAGGGCACTGTGCTAAAGACAATCCGTGCCCAGGGAAGGATGCTCACACTGTGCTGAAGTCAGCAGGGTCTGCTGCTCACACGGCCTGCAGGGTAAAGGCTGCAACACATTTTGCACGTTGCTTCCAAAGCGTTCCCGAAGAGCTCAGTAAACTCAGAGCGACTGCTGCAGCTCCAGGGCACAGCAGTGATATATCCATTTGCTTAAGGTGCATCACTGCAGTGGTAAGTGTTGGCTCTATATCACAGATCTCCTCTGCCTGTAGCTCGTGGCTGTCTGCTATCTGCACACAGCATCACCGCACAGCAGCTGAGGATGGGTAGGGAAGAGCTGCCAGGTGCACTGAGCTGCAGGGGGGTGAGATGGGCACAACAAAGGACACCGCCTTTGCCCAACCTCAGGGCCACAGCCAGGAGAGCAGGGCTATTCCTGGCACTGCTGCTGACACATCACTGCAACACCTTCCTCACCCAAGAGCCTTATTTTTCAGACACATGGAGTTATTACCCAGCAGCAGCCCGCTCTGCTCCTTCATTGGTACACAGTGCTGTACGGCGTACTGGAGAAATGCTGCAGCTACATTTCTCTTATTGACTAAGTAGAGGAACAGGCTATTACATAACCCAAAGCACAGAGTAGGGTAGCATCTACTTGATACACAGAAGCTCTTCTCACATCCAATTCAAAGTGCTTTCCAACAAGAGAATCTGTGCACAAAACCAGAGCTGCACAGTCCTGCATAATTTCACATAAACTGCTTCAGTGTTTTTACATCCACAGTTCTTTTCCATGGCCAGATGCAGTTCAAGAAGGTTAGTAGTACTTAGCTAACTCCCTAGCGATGCTCCCATTCATCAGCAACATGAGCTGCACAGGAAGCCCTGACAATTCAACCTTATTCATTCATCAGCCAATAGATTTATCCAGGAGATAAAAAAAACTTGCAGAGAAGTCCTTGAATTCATATGACAGTGGGACAAATTTACCCCAGCAAACATTACATCCAGATTAGCATAGCTGTGCTGCCCAACACAGCATCCAGGGCTGCACTGCTCCTCCTCTGACCTTCCTGCTGGTGCTGAGATGGCACTGTTCCTCAAAGCCTTATCACTGCTCACCTCAGCACAGCTTTGGTTTTTAATCTGCACATTATTATGTTTAGGAGCCAGATCTGAATTTAGGATTCCTGGTGACCAGTAGCAAGTTTGCTTCACGCAAACCTGCCGTGGTTTAACATGACAGAAAGCACGGCAATGGCAGCAGAGCAGCAAGGTCCCAGGCTGCAGCAAGTGAGGATTTCTGCTCAAATGCAACAGCCATGAGCACAGAAACAAAGGAAAGAAGTTGCTTACCATGGGAAGGCCTCAAGAAGGCAAGGACCTCCAGCAAGATACCCTTGCCTCCACTGCCAACCCTTAAATGAGGTCTGGAAAGGGGTGGAGCCAGGATCTGGTCACTCAGGTACATTGCATACACCTGAGCTCCCTGGGTTGGCCTTGCCTTCCCACCAGGTGCTCCATCACTGTTTCAGACCATGACTCAGCATTTCTCCTACAGCTGGAAAATGGGGAAAGCACAAATGCAGGTAATGAGATACACATCCAGACTGTGGATGGGAAAGGTTATCTCACCAACACACTCAATGCACCACTTAGCACTTCCTGCAAACAGATGTGCTTCCTCTGCTGGTACAGTTTCACAGCTTTGCAAAGTATGGTACCTGTAGGACACAAACAGCATCCTCATTTCTGCCTGAGCTTAAAATGGGCCTGGGCACTTTGAGCAGAGATCAGAGTGCCCAGAGCTGTCAGCCCAGCACAGCCTGAACCGTGACAGAGGCTGAAGCATTTGCAGCTGTTAAAGGAGGATGTTGGTGTGACCTGAAAATATGCCAGTGAGGCCCTTGATGGGCTACATAAACGCCTGCAGGGCCCTATCTGCCATCTCCATGCGTGTAACAAGAACAGAAGTGGTATTTTTGCTGCACGCTCAGGAAAACATTAACTTTGTTACCAAGGTTAAAAATATATATATATATATATATATATATATATATATATATATATATATATATGAAACTATGTCAAAAGTCATTTGTATTAGAGAAAAGAGCATCAGTGGATGATGCACCTAAAGATGATGCCAGCAGAGGTAAGAGCCCATCAGAAGATGACAAGTCACACATGATATGGAGACATCAGGTCAGGCACACTAGCCAGCAAACAGAGAGAGCCCCAGGGTGAGCTGAGGTGTGCTGCTGCACACAGTGAGCCCTGGGCAGGGGCTGAGGGATGCTGCTCAGATCTCCAAGGGGGACACAAAAGGTTTCTGAGTACTTGGAGTCAGGTTGGGCTGATAAACCATCATGCATTGAAACCTCAAAATAAGTGTCAGCTGCTTTAAAAAGAAAGCACACCAGTGGTTCAGTGCACAAGCAGCTCAGTGCATGCTACCCATAACGTTAACAAGCATTATTTCATTTGCTTGGTGTATAATCAATGAATATAAAGAAATTATAATTACAAAATAGAGAGTTTGGCAAAACAGATTATAATAACAAAAAAAGAATAGATAGAAAGCTTACCCACGTCCTGGACTCACTGCAAAACTCCAGAGGAAGGATCTCCAGAAGAGATCCCTTCCCACTCGTGGTCAGCACTTAAATGGGATCTAGGAGAGGTGCAGCCAGGCTTCACCCTTCCAGCAGCACAGGTGAATTGCCTTCACCTGTGCTCCCAGGGCTGACTCAGTGCTCGCCTCAGGTGATCAATCAGAGGTTCAGGCCGTGATTCAGCAGTTCCCAAACACTTGGGTTTCCGTGTGAACCTGTGATGTTTGTTCCCTCTGCAAACGTCTTTGGAAGTTGCAGGCAAGGGCTGCTCTCTGGAAGCTGTGAGCTGAAGCATACAGGGAATTCACCACATTCCCATGCAGAAGTGCTCCTGTGTCTTCAGAGCCATACACCAACTGCTTCTGGCCCCTACATCACCCTGCCTGGTGAATAGAAACTCATACAAACCCTTCCTTTTCTTGAGCTAACAATCTCTGTCTCTTAAATAGGCATTTTATTGCTTCTCTCTCCATATAGGATGGGAGTTGAGGTTTTTAACCGAACGAGGAACTTTCACAGAAACTTAGATTAACATCACCAACAACCTCTCAACCTTGCAGCTCTCCCAGTTGGGTGACACTGACTCACACCAACAGATTAATCAGCACCAGCTGTGGAAGGCATAAAGGAAAATAAAGACAGATCTGTGCTGAGACAGTTCTCCCCTAATTCCAACACTGAAATCCCAAAAGTCCCCCCCTGTGCAGGCGTTTCCCTGCTTTGCATGTTTGCAGTCCCAAGCTCACAAGACCAGAGTACTGTACCTGGCTCGGAGATGCTCAGGCTCTGGTCTGAAGGCAGAAGGAATTCCCTGCACGTGTCCAGATGCAGGGCAGGAAGGCTTTTCTTCCTGCACAGCTCGGTGATGATGCGAACTGCCTTCTGACAGCGGCTGTCATCCTCAGTGCCACTCATCTCCCAGACCGCATCCTCCGCTGCCCTCCTTCTGTCTCAGGAAGTCCAACTAGGAGCACAGGCTGTGCCTCCTTCCAACAGCTGCAGTCCCACCCTTTGGCATGGCTGCACTGTGGGGGTCCCACGTACCCCAACGCTTGGAGCTGCGGGTCGGGCTGCAGAGCCCTGTGCTGTCTGCGTGCTCCTGGCGCTCAGATTGCCTCTGAGATCAGAGATCTGTTTACTGCCAAAGAGTGTTCCAGACAAAGAACCTCCTACTAAATTCAGTTTCGTGCCCTCCATACTACGCTTTTAAAGCTGCAGCCCAGATAATTCCTTTTAACCCTTCTAAGGCTCTTTCTCTTGATTTTCTGGGCACAGAGTTTCAAGCCCTGCTCCCAGAGCAACCTTACAAAGAAAGTGAATGCTGAAATCTGACTGAGGATAGCAAAGAAACACTGCACGAACTACTGCAGCTGTTAAAGGCAGCGTGGAACAAGAAGTCAGGTTTGTTTGTTAGCATCAGTGCCATCGCAGCCAGCTGGAGGTGGCCATCGAGACTGAGAACATTATTGTATTTTGTAATCAGATTTTTAAAAACACCAGGAACCTGTAGCATTTATTATTTCTGTTGCAATTTGTTAGGCACGCCGTGCCACTCAGTAGAACCACACTTTTGAATTCGAGAACATATTGGGCACGCATGAAAAAAGAAACAATCCTATAACAGTCACTTACGGCTCTGTTCAGCAGAATGATTCCTTGCAGCCCGGAGCAGCACGCAGATAAATCAGCAAACCAGAGAGCAAACGATGCAGCTGCACGGATCTCTCAGCCCCACATCACAGCAGCATGTCGAGATTAATGCCACTGTGTTTATTTTGTCTGCTAATTACTGCTGAAGTACTGTGAGCTCTCACATCACGCAAGTCCCAGGAGATACACAGGCACCTCAACACCCAGGAGCATCAGCCCCATAGACTCATCTGAGGCTCCCAGAAGCTCAGGCCTGAAATTCCAGCCTGGTGATCTGAAGAAGTAAACACACCGTGTATTTTAGTAGCATATTTTTAGAAATACAGCTGTTGAACTGTTGTATTATGTGATTAGTTCTTGCTTGCAAAACTTTAATAGCTTTTAGGTGTAGTGAATATTTATGGATGTAGTTTCACAGGCTAGAAAGCGTGCTGTAAGGCTGTTCTGTTTGAATAGGAGTAGTTTCTTTCAGCAAAAGAAAAACAATAATGAAACAAGGAGTAGGCTCATTAAACAGGAAAAGAAGCATGAGGCTGAGTTGTCTCAGTCCTGGAAGAGGTTGGGATGCAACACACAGATGCTGAGGTGCTCCCTTCTATCTTCCTCATCTTCCAACACCTCAGTACACATCATTAAAAGACAGGTTGCCAAACTTATTTCTATCTGAAGACGAGCAGATGTTCAGAAATAATGGTAGAGGGCTGAGTGAACAAAGGTTATGATTTTGGTACCTATAAAATACTTTTAATGGGCACTCTCCTATTGAGTGTGCATCAGTGAAGAGAATTCATGTAGAAGGCGAGTGAGGAAGACCATGGGACGAAGGAACAGGCTGTTGGTTGGGCTGTCACAATGCTAAAAGGACGCTAGATGATAGAAGAAACCATGAGATAGAAGACTGGAAACCTCAATCACTGCCTGAGATAGGGATGTGTATGTTAATTGTCTCGTGGGTAATGCATGAATATGCACCCAGCAGCCCCTGCCTGGCAAGAACACTTCACCTGATAAGCACCTACCTTTCCAAAGAGTTCTGTTGCTGTGGCAACGTGTTGGAAAGCTTTTATTAAGACAGCAATATCCTGCAAATGGTCACAAAGAGACACTTTTTAATTAGACACCACCACCTCCCGGTCAGCGCTGCAGTTGGAGACAACTGCAAACAGCAAACACCAGCACCAGCCGTCCAGCTGCACTGAGCAGAGATCCCAAACTCTGCCAGGTTGGAAACTGAACCAGTAACTGACTAGGAGCTCAACTCTGGTACAGCTTTGCATAATATTTACATGACAAATGCCCTAAAATTCCCTTCAGTGTGTTTCTAGGAAACTCAACACCCAAATGATGCCCCAAAGCTGTGTTGGAGTCAACCCCACCCCTTCAACCCTTTTGCTTCTGCAGAAGGTGCTGCAGCACATCCATGCTATTATAAGACCAGGCAGAGGAACATGGCAGTCAATGTCAGGGCCCATCTTTAACAACTGTTTGGATGTGGTGCTCAGGGACATGATTTAGTGGAGGGTTATTAGAGTTAGGGTAATACGTCAGGTTGCAGTTGGGCTTGATGATCTTCAAGGCCTTTTGCAACCTGAGCAATTCTATGGCATGCGCTGAGCAGACACGCAGCCCACAGCTGTGATGCAGCATAAGGACAACAACAAAGCGAACACAGAGCGCCCTGATAAAAAGGTTAATGTCCAATGGAGAGCTTGTAACACGAAGATCAATAACTCAATTCAATTATTTGGGAAAAAAAAACAAAACAACACGTTAATTTCGATCAGAGGTAACGCCAAGAACGTTCTTCTTTTGAATCCAATGTCACCTTGTGTCAACCATTCACCTTCACCTACAGATCAGGATTCCGAGCTCGGGTGATGGTGACAGCAGACCCAGACCCTCCACAGTTCCTTCAGGAACCAACACAGACTTTACCTGCACCTCATAACGGTGAATTTACATCACATGCCCCTTTTACCATCCGACACCAGAGGATGGAACACAGCCACCACCACCCGGTGGTGTGAACAGCTGCTGTCCATAAGCAAGAGTTCTCTCCAGCATTTTGCTCATACAGACATAGATTGTTACTGAGATACAAATCTCCATCTCAGCAGTGAAGCAGAGGCTCCAAATGAAGCATTACCTCCAGCACTGAGGGAAGCAGAAAGTTTTGAATCACGCTGCAATTCTATGAATGACAGTACAATCAATGCACACCTAATCCTGGGCTATTTGTGCTTGGAGCCTGAAAACTGCTAACTATAGGTACAATTTATTTTTTCTTCAACATATCTGGTCACATCTCTAAGAGAGTGGAGGTTTGTTTGTATTTAAGATAGTGAAATCCAGAGAAGGAGCAGCAGCATTCATTTACACCATCATTAGGATGGCATTAATTACACTCCCAGCTAATACAATAATTGGAAATGGATAGAAGAAGATTCTGATCTTCTTACCAGTAAGAATGACTCCGATTTGGATCCTTTGGCAGCACTGATGTGCTGTCTGTGTGTAAGTGTGCTGCTTCCTGTGCTGCTTTGATGTGCAGATCTGCGCTGGTGGACAAAGCAGCAAGCTGAGCAAACAGCTTCACCCAATGTGTGCATGGAGAGGAGGAAGATACTGTTAGTCACAACAGAGATGGGGCTTTAAGAATAAATAGAAATCCAATACCAGTCACCTTGAACTGAGTGTGGGGAAAAAATATGAAGGAAACTCTCCTTGAAGTATTAAATCTGTAGAGAAGTGCCAAACAGCAGCACTCTGCCCGGCCCCTGGAACCTGTGGAGCATCCAGAATTTGGCCCTTCTGCTGCTAACAGTGAATTAAAAATGAGCAGAACCTCTCATGACAGAGAGGCAATCAGGCTGAGCTGCTTTCCCTGGAGAGCAATGAGTTAAACTTCGATGCAAAATAAAGCACGTATTGCTTCTCTGTTCCTTTCCAATCAAAATATTCCCCAAAGCAAAGGTCCCCAGGCTCCTGCTCCCATGCTGCTCCCATGCTGCTGAGCAATGAAGCTCCTGAAGAGCCTTTCCTGACAGAGACCAATACACAAAGCAAAGGTAATGCTGCCCTCGTGCTTCTGAGCTCCACATCTCCCCTGGCTATGCATTCACATCGGCTTTTTGGGAGTGGTTGTTCAGTTCCAGGGCTCCTGGGGAGGAGGATAGGATAGAAACTACCATTAATGTACTGAATTACTATTGACAGAAATAAGTTTTCAGCAGCCTGCAGTAATCGAGTGGCCTGAGACTTTTAGACATTAAAAGGATGCTGCTCTGGGTGTATCTGGAGGAGGACCAGATTGATTATAATTGGGCAGAAGATGTAACTTGGTTGGACACATCTGCAGTCCCCCAGCAGGAGCCAGCAGCATTCCAGCACTGCTGTGACAGGAGCTCAGGGGCTGCAGGACGAACAAAGTCACACTGCAGCTCTGCAGGGAGAGAAACCTCCTTCCAACAGAGGAACAAAGCAGAGCGCTGCTCACATGAACCCACTGCCAGGCAGAGAGCGTGGCTCTCCAGTAGGGCCAGGATGGAGAGAAATGAGCAGAGCTGAAGCCCCCAGGTCACTGCACTCTGCTTAAGTGTGCTTGCTGACTCTGGGCTCTGGGTAGCACCACACCGTGCCATGCAGGCAACCCGCTGCCACAGCTGCAGGGATCAGAGCCTGAGTTCAGTGCCAGCAGCACCCAGACGGCTGTGCTGGAGCACCCCCTGGTGACCCACAGCTCGCACGAGAGCCGCTGACATCCCACTCTCAGCACAAGGCCACGTGCACTCCAGGTCCCCACCTCTGGTCCCAGGCAGGATGACCAGAATAGCAGGATTTGAGCAGAGGAGCTGATGGTTCCCGGCACGTCCCCGCTTTTTAACACAGCTGCTGCCGTTCTCAGCGTGCATTCCCTGGCTGCAGTGAGCAAACTAAACCTCAGGTTGGCAGAGAACATCTTCATTATGCAATGAGAACGCGCTGCTGAGTGGGATCCCAGCAGAGCTGTCAGGAGGAGCACAGAATGCACTGCTGTGCCATCTCCATCCTTCAGACACACACCATGCCTAGCAGAGCCGATGAGCAAACTGCACTTGGGGTTGCTTGGAGGCAGAGATCTCCTCCAAACCAGAGGAAAAGAAAAAGTGATTTCCAGTTGGCGTTTTGCTGAGCTTGCTGCCCCTGGGATGGGAGGACCGGTAGCTGGAGCTGCACAGGCATCAGAAAACTCATCTGCCAGCTGCAAATTGTAACATAACATCACCTCCATGTGCAAAAAAAAAAAAAAAAAAGAAGCTCAAAACTGATTTATTTTGCTAATTTAATAGAAATAACCAAAACAAACCGGTTTTCAAACAGTGCTTTAAACTGAACTAATACAGCTTCTACAGCACATTCCAGAGTACGGAGCAAGAAGTATTTACAGGCAGCTAACGCGTTAAATAACTATTTGAAGAAAACCTTTTTATTACACGCTG